TCAGGTTATCCACTTTCATTGGCTTTCATTGCCAAATCCTTCATGGTGTAATTTCACATTTATAGTTTTTCTTCTGCTTCCTCTGCATGGAGTCATTTCTGCAGCATTAGAATCACACAACATAATTGTAAAAATAAAGTATTTTAACATCAAGTCATCAAGGATATTTTGTCGTCGACTTATCTCTGTCCATTGTTGATTGGGAGACTAATGTTATTTGTGAACTGCAGGGGGGGATGTATCTCTGCTCTGCTTATATAGTTATTTCCACACAAATCTCTTTTTTTTTCTCTGCGAGTCTGTTTCTCTTCATCTTTCTCCTCTGAAATGACCGTCTATGTGCCGGCAGTCACACCTTCCATCAAGGACGTTTTACGGACATTTTTTATTCATTTAACTCTTTGTTCCTCCAGACTGATATTGTGCTGCATGTTTTCATTCGACAGGAGGCTTACAGTTCACACATATTTTCACATCCTGACAGAGGCTTTTGTGTTCAGATGCCACATTGAAATAGCTTTTTTTTTCTCTCTTTCATTTTCATTTGATCCAAAGATTTCACAATCATTCTAGGACATCCCATCATTATTCCATGAGAATAGGATTGAAATTCCACTGGGGTAAAGGGCCGAAGAGAGTCTTGATCGGATGGAATCTAAATGCGTTTCCTGCCCAGTCTAGTTTAGAGAATTTCAATTGTGAATAAAAATCATTTGAACTAGAAGCCCCTGGTTTTATTTTTCACTTTATCCTCATCTTTCCACCTGGTCTTCTCTCTCTCGGCTCCTTCAAGGGTGTCTTCACATACTCACGCTGTCTTCTCGCTGTGCTGTTTAACCAACCATGCCAACGGCTGTAAATTGAGGGTGTTATTTGGTGTTTGGAGCCGTCGCTGTGTTCAAAGAGCCTCCGCTGGTCTTCCTTTATGAAACAATGACAGATGTACTGAGAGGAATGAGTGGTGGAAAAGATGGAGGTATATAAAGGCAGAAGTGTTCACACTATAAATAAATCTACAGACAAGACAAAGTACAGGAAGTACAACAGGGATTCACTTACACTACACTCTAAAAAAAATTTTTTATTAGCATTGATGCATCCATTAAGAACATCCATTATTAAACTGACACACAAATGCAACTATCAGGCCCTATTTCTGTCCTTCAGCTCAACTGTCACGAACCTGCACACACAGCACAGTGGCGAATGATAAATCTTTGATTCCTTCAAAAAAATGATCAGTTGAAAATATCTCAGCTGACTAGACATGACACGATCATCTATATTCAGAAGTGACCTGTTGCCTTCCTACCTCCATATGCTGCTTGCAGAGGCAGGATTTTTAAGTAAATGTAAACAAAGGGAATATTCCTATCATTGGAAATTTTTTATCACAGCTGACGTGACATGTCCAATAAAAGCACGAGTTCATCTGTCAAATCTTACCTAACCTACAGCAGCTTTTATATGTGAGTCAGCTATTTAAGAGTGCAGTGACTGTGTGTTCACAGCATGTCATCATTAACATAATTATGCACCTGGGAAATTCGTAACTCAGGGTCAGGCATTCGAGACATTTCACGCATTCAAGATACAGTCAAGACATTAGCTGTTCTGGAGATCACATCTTTAAAATGATTAAATACAGCATGTAAACTTAAATACACTCTAAAAAATGCTGGGTTGTTTTAACCCAATTTTGGGTCAAATATGGACAAACCCGAAATGTTGGGTTAAAAATGTAATGTAAAAATTTAACCCAACGGCTGGGTTAGTCCATATTTGACCCAAAGTTGGGTTAAAACAACCCAGCATTTTTTAGAGTGTAGCTTCAATATATCTCTATATCTAAATTATAGATATATTACATGATACTATATACGAGTGTCCCGTAATATTTTACTGCTGAAGTCACTGATATTTTAAGTATTTCTTCATGTGGTCAGGTGGTACAAGCTGTACCACTGTAATAGAAGTCCACTTGAGGTGAGGATATAGTGAGAACTATTAATGGGACGGTTGATACCAGGACTCGGATGCTCCATACGCATTTTTAACTATTAGTCTTGTTTGAGATTAGCAAAATCTGCGCAGAAACGATCACCGGGGATCACCGCGAAATGCATGACGGGTAGAAATGTGTACGAGTGCGGTCCGCCTTGCTCTGATGTCATGCAGCTGACGTGTCAAAAAACTCTCGCGACCGCAAGGCGCACCTGTCGATTCTGCAGTCGCGCAGATCAAAAGCATGATGGGAAGCGATTTGCTGACGACACAGCTTAATGCTCATTAGTTTAAACAACAGTGATGTATTGTTCTCTTTTAAAATGTTTGTTAAATGTTATATTTATTTTTATTTAAAAGCAGAACTTAAATTACATCCAGTTTATTAGCAACACCGTGCATGGGTGTGAATCCTGTGATATCCGCCTTTGATGACACCGCTAGAAGAGAGATCTGTCCGTCTTGCCCAAAGACAGTAAAAGAAATGGACACAGCAGCCCCATAGACTTCAACGGAGAAAAGTGAAGTAAATTAGAAGCACTCACTTCCTGATGGCTGAGCGAACTGTGCAGGCTCAAACTGAGCTGGACGTAGATGTGAGGTGAGCAACCTGTCTGACAGTTGTACGTCTTCTAGTAGCTGTGCCAAGAGGAATCTGAATCATTCCCTACCAAATCTCAGAGAGCCGGAGATCATGAGTATTAGCTGTCCATGAGCTAGCAGCAGGATCAACTTTATGACTCTCTGTGGACTTCTCCCTTGACTTTATGCTTTCACGTCCCCCCGATTGCATTTAAGCTTCTCCTCCTGAAAATACGGTAATTTCTGTACTGTGCGTGTTATGACCATACCAAAACTCCTTCTACGAGGCCATAAGATACAAGGTAATGGAGCTTTTTGAGTTTCCAGCTGTTAGATTACCCCCTTGGTGCAGTCGCTTTTGACTGCAGTCACAGTTTTCTGGCTACTCTTGAATCTCTTGAGTCACGTGACGTCTGCGCTGTATCAAGTGTATTTCTGACCGGCATGCACTGCTTCAAGTCAGCCGCCGATCGGTCTGCGCAGAGCTGCATGAAGTCGAACAAGTCTGCAGTATCGGAAAGTCGGAACGACTGGTTTGAAAAAAGTAAAAAGGAAATGATTATCGAGGAAGCATTATTTATTTAAATGACTTAATTCTAAATTTCCCTATAACATAAACTGTAAAAAAAAAACAGAACACCCCAAATATTTTTTTAAAACTATTCACATAAATTAATTATGATCACATAGCCTAAACTGAATTTGACACAGTGATATTTACAGCTGAGAAAACAAAAGAGAAATATTCCATAACTTTATCATGACATTATAGGTAAAATAGTTATTGGGTCATTCCGGTTATCCTCTACCATTGGTTTTGATTGGAAAATACTAATGTTATGCTACTTGTGGACTGCAGGGGGCAATGTGTCTCTGCTCTGCTAATATAGTTATTTCCACACAAATCTCCTTTTTTTTTTATCTCTGTATGAGGCTGTTTCTCTTCATCTTTCTACTCTGAAATGACCCTCTATGTGCCGGCAGTCACAGCTGCCCTCAAAAACGTTTTACTGACATTTTTTTTTATTCAATTAACTTTTTGTCACAGTCCCTCTAGACCAATGTTGTGCTGTATGTTTTCATTCAACAGGAGGCTCACGGTTCACACACATTTTCACATCATGACAGAGGCTTTTGTGTTCAGATGTCACATTGAAATAGCTTATTTTTCTCATTAAAAGCTCCTCCAAAGATTTCACAATCATTCCATCAGTCGTTCATGAGAATTTGTTTAAATTCCACTGGGGTAAAGGGCCGAAGAGGATCAAAAGCGTTTCCTGCCCAGTCTAGTTTGGAGAATTTCAATTGTGAATAAAAATCATTTGAACTAGATGGACCGGTTCTATTTTTCACTTTATCCACCTTCTCTCTCCCGGCTCCTTCAAGGGTGTCTTCACACACTCACTGCTGTCTTCTCGCTGCTGTTTAACCAGCCATGCCAACGGCTGCAAATTGAGGGTGTTATTTGTTGTTTGGAGCCGTCGCTGTGTTCAAAGAGTCTTCCTTTATGAAACAATGACAGATGTACTGAGAGGAATGACTGGCGGAAAAGATGGAGGGGAGATGTGAATACGGAGTTAAGGTCATTGATGAAATCTTTTCAGGATGGAAGCGACATGAACTGGTAGAAAACAAATAAATGCTGTTTAACTTACAATGTGTTCAACCATTTGGGACATAGAGTTTAAGGAATCCCTGCTGGAAAAAATAAAAAAATAAAATAATTATTCTTTTTACTGCACTAGTGGTGCTGAAATTAAACCCCCCAGGAAACTGATTTGATGGTCTTGCTTGATTCAGCACCATGGACAGCAGCTTTTAGTTTACAGTTGCAGCACTGTTGTGAATATGCTTTATTATTTGGGTTTATATTTCTGAAAACTTATCCAGCTATACACAGACACTGAAATTACACAATATTGCACAACACTAAACTGCTTCATTTGACTGATAGAGTACTCAAAAGGAAGACTCTCATTTGGCTGCCCCACACAACCTCAGTACAGTTTATTGAATTAATATTCACACCTCCATTTCACCTTTTGTTGTGAAAAGTACACCACAGACATGCTCCAATGTATTTGATGCGATGTGTAATAAACACTGTTGAAAAGAGTGTCATAGTGCTGCTGTAAAAGTTTGACATGTACATGGCTCAAGTGCATGTCTCATATTTACATTTAATCTGTAAATGTCTTTATTCTGTTTAATATTCGCAAGCTCAGCAATTTTGATTTATGTGAAAGAGGAGAACATCAGCCTGTCTGAATATTTCACTGTTAACTGAACGAGAGAGAGAGAGAGAGAGAGAGAGAGAGAGAGAGAGAGAGAGAGAGAGAGAGAGAGAGAGAGAGAGAGAGAGAGAGCACAGCCCACTGGCTGGATGCTGCATCAGAGAGTGAGAGAAACAGGGATGATGAGGATGATGATGATGATGATGGAGGCAGAAGAAATGAACAGAGAGAAGAGAGTTTCACAACACTGATCAGATAGCAGGTGCTGGACCTTCATCCACATCAGACTGAAGTCGGATGAAAAATGGATGTGCGAAAGGACTCGATGAGCTCCAGCATTTGACCGGACGAACTTCTGATTCACAGCGATCTAATCTCGAGATCATCGATCCGCAGTTATTCTGCTTCTGCGTGTTTCGCGGGATATTCTTCTCATTTCGCGCCTTTTAATCTGAAGCTGCGCCGCATGAACGGAGGCTGATGATGAATATAAAACACATCAGGTTCGTCATATAATGGGGATCGAGGACGCGAGCATGAGGAACGGACGGGCTCTGTCCGATCAGTGGGCCGACAGCGTGGTGGTCCGGCCCCGGACGACCGAACAGCACATCACTGTTCACAAGAGGCTGGTGTTGGGCTTCGCCATCTCCATCCTCACCCTCATCATCGTCACGGCCATCGCCATCACGCTGAGCGTCAGCTTCGAGAGATGCGCCGCGGAGAGCAGCGGGGCTCTGCCCGCGAACGGCTCCAGCAACAGTAAGTGGAAACAGTCCCGGGACGGGAACATCAGTCACAGAGACACAGAGGAGGGTCAGCAGCCCTGGAGACACCTGCGCTTACCGGCCACCCTGCGCCCGCGCCACTACGACCTCCGACTGTCCGTGAACATGGAGAACTTCAGCTTCTCCGGCGAGGTGAACATTGAGTTTGAATGCGTCAACTCCACGAAGTTGATCGTGCTGCACACGGACCGACTGGAGGTGGAGAAAGTGCTGGTGTTTTCGGACAGTAAGAAAGCGGGCGTCATGAGGATCCAGCGCCGCTTCCACTATCCGCCCAAGCAGGTGTTTGTGATCGCGCTGCACAGAGAGATGAAGCCCCTCAGAACATACAAGATCAACATCACCTTTCACGCGCACATCGAGCACGAGCTCTTGGGCTTCTTTCGCAGCTCTTACGTGCTGAATGGAGAAAGAAGGTAAAAGTGGTTCAGTGTCCGTCTTAAAAAAAGTCTCTCATAGGATGATCATGAGTTGATATAATGCTGTTGCCATGGGAACTACTGATACTGATCCTTAGGTTACGCAGTTAAACAGTAAAACTTAATCCAACCTGTGTTTTGGCTGAAATTAACAAAATACAAAGATAATATTGCAGTTAAAGTTAGGCTAAATCACAATAAATTAATTTGGGATTTCATTCAAATAAGAATCTCACTATCTCACTAATCTCACTATGTTTTAATTCCAAGCTACCCAAGTTTTACAGCATGTAACAATAATTGTTTTGTTATTTTACTAAAAAACGATGCTTACCATGATTGCCTTGGTAGGAGGTACAGAGAATTAAAAAAAAAAGAAAAACTCATAAAAATCTCATGGATTGTCATAGATGAATGAAACACGTGAGGTGACAGGTTTAACAATCCCAACCATCAAGATAGACGCATGTCCCAATTAAAACAAAACATCTTCATCCATAAAATTACTAACTAAAGGGATGGTTCACCCAAAACTGAAAATTTACTCACCCTCATCTTGCTCCAAACCTGTATGAGTTTCTTTCTTCTGTTGAACACAAAAGAAGATATTTTAAAGGATGTAGGTAACCAGACAGTTAACATTGTAGCCATTGACTTCCATAGTATTTTTTTGCTAATGTGGAAATCAATGGCCACCGTCAACTGGTTAACAACATTCTTTAAAATATTTTCTTTTGTGTTCAACAGAAGAAAGAAACTCATACAGGTTTGGAGCAATTTGAGGGTAAGTAAAATATGAAAAGATTGTCATTTTTGGGTGAACTATCCCTTTAAATCTGGTAAAAATATTTGGATAAACTAAACTTAAACTCTAAACCTAAATCCAGCTTAATGTTAGGCCATTCACCTGTAAATTATAGTCTAACATTATTATCTGTATGTAATTTGATGTCTTTATCTCAGACAGTAACTGTTCCTCAGTGTTCAGGGAGGTCAGAGGTCACACAGATCTGAACACTAGTTAAACCTCTGGGTACTGAAGTCACAGCTGTGACTGACTGCGCTCAATGACTCATTTACTGTCACACACTGAGACTCGTAATCATGGGAAGTTTTCCAGCACAGCAATACACCTTCATAAACCCACACAGTTATATTTACATCAAAAATAACCTTAAAAAAATAAACTATTTATGCAGTAACTACCATCATGCATTCATTTATAAACAGTATATTGATATAATCAATATATAAACAGATTAGCCAATTCAAGTGTTCAGTTCATATGTGCTCCTGTTTAAACGACAACCCATTTTTGTTTGAAAATCTTCAGATCAGTAGTTAAAATCTTTTATACTCTTTAAGATGCACAGTTGATTATCACAAGCTCATACAGATATCTATGTATGTGTGTTGACTAGTTTTAGAACCGTTTACAGCTCCATATTCACAGTGATTTTACAAAATATCAACTACTTGCTCTTGTTTTCCGGCATATGACTCTTTGTCCTCTGAGGGTAAAAAATGGCTCATGTCTGAATCATTGCCGCAGGTTTTCCTGCATTTGAGACATGTTTAAGCCTTCTTTTACCCTGAAGGGTTCGCTTTCATTGACATACTTCATAACCCTTCTGTCTGTCCGCCAGTTTCCTCCTTGTGTTTTCAATAACGGCTGAACCTTCTGCTTTCTATCAGCTGTAAACCCAGCATGTTAAAAGCTCAGGGCCATTCATTCTTTTTCTTAAACTTTATTGTGATGTCTTAATATCGTAAAATCCATTGAAGAGCTCCTTTGAGATAAATTCAGTATATGTTGATCAGCTCCACAGGCTGTGAAGATCCTTGAGTTTAGTGTAATCAGCGCCTGCTGGCTGCTCGTATATTCATGAACAGCGGGAATCTCACTGGATTGTGGAAATACTTGGGTTGATGTAGTTAGACTTGGGCGCAGGAGTGTTGTTCCCTTTCAGTTGCTCACGTTCGACGTTGTCGTATGTTACGACTGATTGGGATCACGCCAGGGAGCCAGTCATCTTCGAGAACTATTGAAACGAGCCAATGGAATTGGCGTGCGTGATTTGCATCACACACTCCACCCCCCAGGCGCAGGTATAAATACTGAAGTGGATGCACGCACTAGTTGCCTTTCACTTCGGAGCCGATCGTTTGATGTTTCTGAAGAGTGCTTTTGTTTACGAGCGAGTGTGTCAGTGTTCTTCTGGAAGACTCTCCCAGTGTTGGTGGATTGTACAGCACAAGTACAGCTGTGATCGCAAGCTTTGAGCTCCTAACTGCTGTTTTAACAGCAACAAATTTTGTTTGTTGACGGCTGGTTAGAGGGCGGAAAGGTGAGTGCGTCACTGTTTCAGTTCACTGTTCAGTCTTGCCGCAGACATGCCCATGTGTGCTCCGGCACTGGTGATGAGATCGACACTCACCTGCATCCGCAAAGTTAAAGTCCCCTTTACCATGCCCCATGCCTGGCTGCTGTGTGGGATGGGTGACCGGAGGATAGTGATTGATGTCTCAGTAACCCTTCCCTGTCGGCTCCTCACTCCTCCATTACACCGCAGCCGATAGAATTTCCTGTTGAACGTGCTGGTCCCTCTGTAATGGACTGATCAGCCGTTCCAATTGGGGTTCCCCCAGAGGATAAGATGTCGATAGCAGCATCGGAGGGTGATCTGGCCTCTGGAGATGACGACTCGGCTGCGTTATCTCTCTCTGGGAATGTAACATTGTCCGAGCCAGATCCAGAAATGTCAGCTATTCTGAAACGGGCCGCCGATGCTGCCGGGCTTGAGTGGAATCCTCCTTCGTGTCCCGCTCAGTTCGGTTGGAGGATCGGTATCTTGGGGCGGGACGCGCTGGTTCTCAGCTCTCAGCCCTTTCTTTCCCGAAGTGTATGGAGAGCTTACCAGGTTGAGGACGGCACCTTTCTCTGCCAGAAACTGCCTGTATAGTGTTTTCTCCCTCACTATCCTTGATGGAGGAGCGGTGAAGGGTTTTGAGGCTATCCCTCCAATGGATAGATCTGTCGCACCTGTCTCCGGCGGCCACTGCCTTCTGGACAGGGGATCCTCATCTCCCCCTAAGGCCTTTGAGTTCTCGTCTGTTCCGATGGGCAGAGATTACAAAGCCTGTGGCTAAGCCGCCTCCTCTTTGCATGCCATGGCACTCTAAGGTAGTCCAGACTGTGTGCTCATTAGTGAGCGCCGCACTGCATCCGACCTCACCCTCCAGTGTTGTGGTGTGTGCGATCGGTCTGGTCATGTCAACCTTAGTGGCTCAGGAGCTCAGGAGCTCCATCGTTGGCTCAGTCTGGAGCATATGGCAGATGCGGACAAGGTTTGGTGCCTGACCGCCCCGATTTCCCAGGTTGGGTTGGTCAGCAAGACAGTGGAGAACTGCGCCCAGGAGTTACCTGCTGCCCAAGCAGAAGGAGGCCACATCATTCCACAGAGGCCTGCTCCTGCCTCCATCCTGCCGCCAGTTGCAGTTCCTCCACCTGCCCATCCCACTGGGCCTCCACAACAGTGCCCATGGTTCCTACCTCTACTACGAGACCAGGTGGTGAGTCTGGAAGCGCTGCCCCGAGGCAGATCCAGCAATGACATTTCTCTGTCCATCTGCTCCATTGCGGTTATACGTGCTCAGAATGCAAAGCCTGGACCTCAGACCAACTCTTGTCTGTTACGGAGACCAGCAGAAGGGAAGGCTGTTTCCATGCTGAGGTTAGCCTACTAGATTTCCCAAGATGCACGTGCCCACATGGGTGGTGAGCTTCTACTAAGTGAGAGTATTGCTCCATCGTAGGCATTGACGAGTTGGGGGCTGGGTGACACCTATCATGTTCGCTAGAGAACTAGCCTATGTGTCGAACTGCTACTTCCCGTGGGCTCCCTTCACATAAAGCCAGTTTCAAATATGTACATACATGTTGCTCACATATTATGGTAGACCTGTTTGTGCTAAATAGAATGTAATTACAGCTTTGCCATTAATATGTTTATGGGCAACTGAAAAAAGCACAAATATCAGGGCATTTCAAAACATCTCAAGGACCCCCAAAACACCCTAGTTATCGCTTTTTTTCCAACTACATGTAAGATAAATTTGACAGCTTTTTATTATTTTCTTGCCATCTAAATAGGTTTACACTGTCAATTCGTAGACGTTGTGCCATCACAGATGTGTTTAATGTTTACAGCTGTGACATGCAGATATCAGATATATCATTATTTCTGTGTAGTTCTGTGTACTCTTGATGTGATTTAGTTGCTGTGGTTTCTTCACTCCAGAAAGCTCATTAGTGTGATATAAATGCACAGAGATGTGAACAGGGATGGCAGACAGAGTTAATTTACATTCAGGAAAGTCATGTGACAACCAATTTAATGAAGTTTTGGTGAAATGACTTTCCACTGTTGACTCCTTGACTAGTTAAATAGCAGTTTCAAGTTTTCTCTTACCTCTCTCATGTTCTTATTCTGCAGGTTTCTTGCGGTGACACAGTTCTCACCGACCCACGCTAGAAAGGCCTTCCCGTGTTTCGACGAGCCCATCTTTAAAGCCACATTCAGAGTGAGTCTGAAACACGAGAGCTCATATCAATCTCTGTCCAACATGCCAGTGGAGTCTTCAGTGTCTGAGGAGGACGGATGGGTGACCAACCATTTCTCCAGGACGCCCCGCATGTCCACGTACTACCTGGCCTGGGCCGTGTGTAACTTCACCTACAGAGAAGCAGTTACAGAAAAAGGAGTTGTGGTGAGTCGTGTTTTACGACCCTAAAACTCAGTTATTATAGATATTTTATATATTTATATATTTTTTCTAAAACCTAGAGAGCAGTATTTAAACCATCAAAGATGTGCTTCTGACATGAAGGCTGTTCACAAGGTTTTCTGCTTCATTTAAGGCAGCACCTCATGTATGCTTTAAATTGAAGGCAATCCCAGAATACATTGCACCTATCCAGTAATAACATCAATCCAAAATGGCAAATGAGCCGAGACAAATCAATGTATACTTATAGTTACACACTTGATTGATCAAAAGTAGATCAAGAGTGACTGTAAAGACATGCATAGTTACAAAAGATTTCTATTTCAAATAAATGCTGTTGTTTTAAACTTTCTATTTTTTATCACAGTTTCCACAAAAATATTAAGTATCAAAATGTATTGCTAACATAGTTTAATCTAATTAAAAATTGTCTACTTTACCCAATATTTGTGTGCTACTGCTTTGTAGCTTTAAGTTCATTAGCGTATTAAATCATTAGCTTAGCAAAAGACTAGCATCAAAGACAATTCATTTTAATTGTTATTCAAGTCACATTTATGCGTTATTATGTATTTAATGTAGCTGCTATTTATGGAGAGTTTTCCAAATCTGTGACCTGTGAGGTTTCATCTCAGTCAGGATTCTCCCAGAAAGAAGCTTTCAAGAGAGTAAGTTTTAAAACAGACCTATTATCTTGTTCACAGTCGAGTTGTGTATTTTACAGTACGTTTCTATAATCAATATACAATGGTTCCACAGTGGATAATGGAAATGTTTGTCTCCACTGACATTAGTCCAGTGTCCATAAAGCCATATGTGTGTTTATTAAAAGGGTAACAGTCATGTGTGCAACTGGTGTCCACTTATGCTCATGTCCGGGATTGTGTTCATGACAAACTCTTCCAGGTTTGATATAAAATACAAGAACTTTGTTTGATGTGACGTTGTATCACTTTCATCACATGCACTTAAACACTGAATCCTCACATGCTAAGCTGCTTCATCTGTGTGCCACTAGAGAGACTCTGTTTATGAGCTGCGTAACTGATATCACGTTCAGTCATATTACACACTTCCTGAGGGCTTCCAATGCTGCCCTTGGCCGGCCTCCTCCTCATATTAGTGTAATTAATCGATCTCCTTCAGCATGACTGCGCTCTCCTTTATATCAAATCATCTCTGACTGCAGTGTGTGCCTCTATCTGGGGCATTTATACCCACACTGTGCCATGTAGTGGTTAGCCGCACGCTAGCGTCCCCATCAATTACATTAAAGCGGCAGGGTCGCCCCCTCGCTCCATTTATCACACAGATTCGGCTGTGTGGAGCGAGAGGAAAGATTGTGGGAGAGGAACGTTGGAGAGAAGAGTGAAGTTATTACTCTGGGTTTATGGGGAAACACTGATCTACCACACACACGCCTAAAGATCACGGTATACCAAGCTCAATTGGTTGGGCTTTATCTATTATGTTATTATGTATTAGGTTTTTAGGCCTAGTGGGAGGGTATAAAACTCCTGACCTGAGACAGGTGATGTTCCCCTTTGGCCAGTTGAACAGTTTTACTTAGGGTTTTTACACAATGAATTTTAATTATATGCATTTATTGTTATACAGTTATTGTCGCATTTGAATTATATTTCACTCATACCCAGTTTAATGGTAATGGTGCATGAGATTTTTTATTTTTTGCAAATTGCAGGCTTGTTTGTTTTTGCTGTCATCTAACCTGCCGCTGTGCGCTTATATTTCTACTTAAAGATTTAATGAGCCGTGATGAAAAAAAATTATGTATTAGGCTACTGTTTAACAATCCTTTATAGTAATTATAAAAGTATATTATAAATAGCGAAGGCCAAACAAAAATGCAAAAAGTGCTAAATTATTAGTGAGATGGGTTTGAACTATGGGTTGAAGGATGAACTAATAACTTCAGAAGTGGTGTTTGGAACTTTATATTAATGACAAAATAAAATACTGCAGAATTCATTAGTGTATGTTCCCTTTCAAGGGAACTTGATCTGCGTCAAAGCTGTGAGAACGCCTCTGCGTGTGTGCGTCCTGAAGCATTCCATACGGAACGTCATAGGCGAACGTCATAGAATGTCATACAGCTCTATAGAAAGTGTGGGTTCTTCTAATGGGCGAGGATATATAATCTGCTCCATTAACATGAACCTAACTCCTTATTGTTGATTTTTACTGGTTATTCTGCCCTAAAATCAGATTGTAACTTGAATGCTCTCTATAGACTAGTATAACTAGCAATTTTCAATGAATACAATTTAACTTTAATGTTCCATATCTTGCATTATATTCTTTTATGACCAAGCCATTTCAGATACAACCCATGTTCTGCAACCTCTAGGAGTAATGTCTGACAATATCTGGATAAACATGTATTTTTCTAACCAGAAAATAAATGATCATGCTGTCTGTGGCCTGCTCTCCAAAATGATTTAAAGTCTGAGCTTGGATGTTTGTTTCATCTATCTTCCAACCTACATTGTTTAGTCAACCTGCTGCTATGTGTGAATAATGCTGAGTCTTCATCTTCACACACCTCTGTTTTAGTGAACGTGACCTTTGTTTAGCCTGCATTGACCACTGGACTCTGTCAAGCACGTTTAACAATACAGATGGTTTCAAAGCAGCTTTACGTTGATAATAGGAAATGAGTGGAAAATTGTTTGTTTTGGTTTTACAGCAGCTCTAGAAAAAGTTATTGTCCAGTTAAAGTAGTGCATCACATATTGCAATTTGACCCTCAGGGTCTTCAGACTCGTGATATCTCAAACAAACAAATACTAACACACAACAGCGTTTCCCTTTCTAACCATGTATATTATTTTCTTATTGTATTATATTAGTTAAAATGCTAAAATAAGAGAAACTGATTGTCTTTAAGCAGCACATTTTTTGCATAACACTGTAGCAGCTGTTATTAAACCCACTGGTTTAGTGTCAGTGAGTTTTTTATTTATTTTATCATTAAAATGACAAATGTTCTTCTAATATCTAATCAACATTCAACACCACTATACTAAATATGCTCATTACATTCTCATGAAATTACTCAGCCTGATCAGAAAAGCATGTTGATTTAATGGACAACATTATGGTTTTAGCAGTAGAACACAAATGCTTTAAAACGTCTATGTAGGTATTACGTTAAAATACAAGCTTATATCAACATAAATGTCCATCTTGATTTACGCTGGTTTGTGTTGTATAGGGGATAGAGAACAATTCAGAGTGTAAATATGCTTTCCATTGGGGCAAATGAAGTTTGATTTCACATTAGTGTCACGTGAACTACCGCAGCGTGCACACAGTCTGCTCCAGTCCAGAGACACACAGAGCGGATCACGTGTGCGACTCAACGTAAAACGTATCAGACCTATTTGAATTCTGCATAGAATGATGTATTTTAAAGCAATATGGAGGAGATGAGGAGGACCTACGGCTTTACCGAGGTCAACGGCTCTGGCCAAGCTGTAATATAAACTAAAAGCTATTGGCTGTTTTAAAAAAGGGGAGGAGCTGTTTGATATGTCCCGACCCTGTCTTCTTGCTTCATTGGAAATTATGTCAACACATTGTATGCTGCGCATTTCAATGCACTTCGGTAGGCCTTTAAAGTTCAATTAACCCCATTTAAGTCTCTGTCAAGCTGCCTTCAACAAAACCAAACAAATGAAACAGTCAGCACTAGAGTCAGATTGAACAATCTCCACAATGACTGATTAATGAAGCTTCTCTTGATCGGCCAACTTGAGCACTTTGTCTAATTACAGGGCGATTTAAAATCACATTGATTTGATTGAGCTTTGAATAATTTCCACAGCCCCAAGTGCCATCCATTCATCTTTATATCAGACATAGAGCTGATCGATCCGGTAGCAACATATGATGTAAACAACACATAATTCAATGTGCATTGCTGCCAGGCTCTGAAACAAAGGCTTGTTTTGCACGGTAACTCTGTTAGTGTAGGTGGACATTCATTCTGACTGGATGGATGCCCGTTCAGAAAGCTGTGCTGTGCATCAGCCTTCGGCTAAACGAGACCAGGATCATTTTTACTGTGAGAATACATTTCCCACAGAGCCACACCTCACACACTTTCTCTTTCACACTTGTTCTCTTCCCTCTCTCCCTCTTTCACATAATCGGAAATACAGAATAAAGGATCTTGCAATAATGCAGACGTTTTGTCTCTGCTTTTTCCTGGAAATCTAATTTGTTTCAAAAGATAAATGTCTAAAATTCTTGTTAAAAAAAAACTACAGCTTTAAAATTATGTAAATAAGAAAAGATGTTCACAATTTTAAATACATGGAGGAGTTCTTCATCAGCTAGTCTAATAACATTATGGCTTATGAACATGTAAACAGTTAATTTGTTTACCATAACTTGTTCGCCATAACTCGAACAGAACAGAACCATTCATAAGGATTTTAGACAACTTAAAAGATAAAAGATTAAGCCATGTATCAAGGTAATTAGTTTGACTCTAATGTGATTCACACAATTGCAAATTTTGATTTAATCAAGAGAAGTTTATGAAAACTGGACTACTTCTTTGATGAGTAAATATACTACTCACCCCATGAAGCACAGCAAATAACTAAATCAAATCAGAAAAAAAAACCGGTACAAAATATTCATTATAAATATAAAAACTACATATTCAGCTATTCAGCTTAGTGTGTCATCCTCAATGCATTACATGTGTGGACTGTTCTTCAATATGCAAAAGTTCTCCAATTGTTGGATCTCTCTTCAGGGTATTATGGGTAGATTCATTCTTTTTTGTAAATCTGTTAATTAAAACACTAAATATGAGCTCATCTGCCTGCTATCTACATGAAATAAGTTATCCTTGAGGGAATTCCGGTTAGGAATAAACCCAGAGCCGTCCAAGAGTACATCCAGCACCAATTTGACTTTTGTTCTCCCTCTCTTCCATGTTGTGTTGATGTAGATTCGGCTGTACGCCAGGCCTGACGCCATCCAGAGCGGATCGGGAGACTACGCTCTGCACATTACCAAGAGACTCCTGGAGTTTTACCAGGATTACTTCAAAGTCAAATATTCCCTCCCGAAATTAGGTAAGACAGGCGGTGAAATGTCTTCAGCTTTGTCAGGCTTTAGTGAAACGACAATAAATGTTCTTCTCATGGGAAAGCGAGTGATCTTTCATTTGCCCTGCCAGTCGGTTCTGTGTGACTTCCCTTTTGTGCTCGTGTGAAGAGGTGAAGAAGTGGCAATAGCAATTCAGTTCTTGCATTTATTGATCCCAAAAGCATAGGCTGTTTGTGGTTGTGTTTGGAGTTGGGAATTAGAGCACACACACCATGAGTGGTGTTAACGTGTGTGTAGTTTTAAGTGTGAGTGTGGTTGTGGTGGACTGGCTCACATCAGACTGTGTATCGCTCCATTTGGTTCCTGTCAGTTCTCTGACTTTATATAGTCGACACTCTCTCGAGGCGTCTGTCTGTCACTCTCTTCCCCCGCCTGCTCTCTTCCTCTCTAAATGTGTGCGTTTGTGTGTTTGCATGTAAGGCTGTGTATTTCAGTGCACATGTATCATTAATCATGTACCTCTCTTAAATGCTCGATGAAAAAACATGCGACCACAAAAGTGAAAATCAGCGAAGAAATGACTAGAGTTGCCAAGTGCCCCTTTAACATCGCCTTGTCCCACTAATGAATCTTTTTCATTACTGTTGCTCTATTGATTGACGTCCTGCAGGATCATTTCACATGTGAAACCCTTTAATGAGGCTGGAGATTTTATTCACCTGCTAAAAAGATGATCACATCTGCTTTTAAAATTTCACATCAAAGACGCTGCTTTTGTAAAGAAACAGTTTTTCAACTCAGTTGGTGACCTTAAGATACTTTTGACACGAACGCATCAATGTTGCTTGTCACTGCTAAACTGAGGGGTGAGATGGCTTCAGCGTGAAGTGCGGCTTCATCCGAGAAATGATGTGGACGTAATGGATGCGTCCGTTATGTAAAGACACCATCTGTGTGTTGAGTGTTGGAGCAGTTGCAGCCCCTCTGGTCTCCAAACATGGACATTCTGACTTTCTGCTCATGCAAACCAGAAAAATACAGAGAAATGAATGCAGAGTGTACGGGTTAAAGACGGCACAGCAGGAGCAGATCACAATTTAATCACGTCCTTGAAGCACTTTTGAGGTATTTTAAAAGCTTGTTACAGCTGTTTAAAGCTTCATGACACTTCATTTTTTAAGGTTTATGTAGTCTGAGAGATTTTAGGCCATTTGTTTTCTTAAAGACTAAAACTCTTTGTATCCGCGGCTCTTGGCATGTGATTCGTCGCTAATGGCATAACGATTTCTTTCAGAAGAAACAACGACACAAACGCAACACGACCCATTCATCAAAGTGGCCCATTGTCCGCCCGCCGAATCTGAAGCAGAGTCCAATTAGAGCAACTTAATCAGAGCTGCCATTTACTGTGACTGGCAAATAAGAGCCACTTTCTCTCTTCCTCTCTTTCATCCACTCTCTCTTTTAAAGAGGGCAAAAAAACTGAATGAAAGTAAAAGGATTCAAAGAATGATGCAAATCAGGGGAGAAAATGGACTTTGTTGTCGGGTAGCAGTTAATACCTTCATATGATGATCAGAAATCGGTTTCATGCCTTTGACGCAAAAGCTTCCAGAAGCTTCATCATCAGAGAAGTCACATGCAGACTGATAATAAGCTGAAGAATCAGAGCGGAGTGTGTCTGCATCCATTTAGCTTTCATTACATCAACAAGTGTCTTCAGCTGCAAGAATCAAACTTCCGGATGCGTTTGGGAGTTGTTATGAGGATGCATAATCAAATCATAAGTGAGGGTTTGCATCAGAGTCACTTTGAGGTTGGCTGGAGGTTTGAGGTTGCTGGAAGTATTTTACGAGACACTTCACATGTCATGTTGTCTGTTTTTAATTTTTAAGTGGCTTCTTCAGGGCGTCGGCTCCGTTGTCCATGCTTTAGGACACAAGTTGGAAGGCAACCTTTGTTCCAGAATCGGTGCAGCTTTTAAATTCTCAACCATCTCTAGCCCTGCTGTTTACCAAGCATTGATTTAAATCATTTTAAAAATAAATATATTAGGTATCAATTACAGTAGATTATAATTAATATCTATTTTGTGTATATTGTGTTATTTATTGATATTATGTTTTTTTTATTTATGTATATTTTGTACTTTACTCTATGTGGCTTCACTAATTGCCCCTTGGGGACAAATAAAGTGTTTTGAACTTGAACGTTCACTGTCTGGTGCTCAAAACATCGAGTCAGTTTGTATATCAAATGAAATGCTCAGAGATGATAAAATGCTCTCAAATGGTGGTGAAATAAGCCCTTTGGGTGAGCAAAATAACATTTTTAACAGAACACTGTCTATTATTGCATGCACAGTACACATAAATATGTGCCATGCAGTTACTATTTAAAAAAATATGTATTCAATTATTTAATTAAAGGTGCTCTAAGCGATGTCGGGTGACATGACTTATTGTTGACGTTTAAAGTATTTTCAAACAAAAAGGAGGCTTGATAGACCCTCCCTCCTCCTCATCTGGGCACTGACCCCCTAAACCCCACCCCCAGGGCCTTTTTGTCAGTTATTGGCTGGACCAGTTTGTTATGTTTCGTGGAGCGGGTTGCCACAGTTTGTTTTTGTTGCCATTTGTGGAGCCTGGGTTGTCTGCATAGTTGTCCGCGTTTTTTTTTAGAGTGTGTTTAGGGGACAGGCAGCTAGCGGATAGTGAGGAGATGTTTGCTGTATGTGACAAAAAATGTTTGGGCCTAAAAACGTGTGACATCGCTTAGAGCACCTTTAATTAATAATTATTAAAATGTATTATAGTATTATAGTATAAAATAATCAATCAAGCAATTCAACCAATACAGATCAAATATAGGAGTAAAGTTCACTCGGGATCCTGGAAATAGCAGGTTTTGCATTGCATTGTGGGAAACAGTGCTGCCAACAATGTATTTTATAGATTCAGTATTCAGTATGGTAGTATGCTGTTTGGAATATGTTCATTTATACTTGGTTAAAAACATGCTTCATTGTCAATTTTTTTTTTTAATCATTTACAATCTGGCGTGACAGCTGGTATGTTTGAGTCTACAGTCGATATGAAGACTGTAATGGAGCACATCATCTGTTTGTCAGAATAAAGAGACAGTGTGAGCGTTTGAAGTAGCATTTAGCATGTCCTTTGAGAGGGACGTGATCTTTCTTAGACATTGATCTACAGTAAGTGCTTCTCAGAGAGAGATCAATGATCTATCAAGAAGAGGCCGAGACGGTCCAGACTCTTCTTAATTCTGACAGCAGAATCTGAGTGACGGATACAGATGAATGCCAAAGGAAATCCAATGCGTGACAAATGTGGATGGGTTCATTTTCCTTTGCTGATCCAACAGAGAAAGATCAGCAAAGTGTGTGTGTGTGATGAGATGGACACTGGGAAGATATCCAGTCCATCGAAACTAACCAGACCAATCAAATCCCAGTGTCATTCATTGGCTGTTAATGTTCCTCTCGGCTGAATCATGTACAGCGTAGAGATCAGATCCAGCTCAGAATCACACATGTGACCTTCAGAGTTATTTAAACCCACTGCATGATGGGAATGGTGACATTTATCACAATCACCTTTGGGCCCTCCCTACTTTATGAGATTACAGTGAGAAGAGAGCATTCTGGGTAATTTCCTCAGTCATGGGAGATCGGTAACAGTGCCAGAGCTGGAGAGCTCAAACTATAGGAATGAATCTGAGAGAATGAGACGTTAAAGACTGACAGCAGGACGTCGGAGGACATCTTCAGTTTCAGATACTGCATATATATTTATATTCTGAGGTGAGTGAGTGATTTTGAGGAGGATGAGACTGTTTTTTATTTCCTTGTTTTGAATGTTCATGTCCTCTGTAAGGACATCTTTCACTGCTCTATTCTAACCATCCTTATTTATCATCAATACTGTGACATTGCCATTTCTCTTTTAGTTTGCTTCATCTTGCTCTTTTCTTTTTCTTTCCTCTCTCAATCCTGCAACACAAAATCTACTCATCCTCCCTCTTTTCTTTTTCAAAAACTGAAGCATAAGCTGCACTTTTATAAACCTATTTTTCGTCTCGATCGCTATCTCTGTGTGATTGTTCTTAATACAAAAAATCCCAAGGATAATGGGAATCTCTGCTAGAATTCATTAAAGCTAATCATGAAGGTCGGATGAGGGGCGTTTTAAAAGCGCTTGCACCATCATTGTGAAAGTGACGGTCATAAAACTGAAGGGTGTTTCACAAGAGATGAAAAATGAGGCACATTATAAAAGAATCACAAATCCACTGTATGTCTGATGAATATTAACAGAGTCACGCTCTCCATCCCTCTTCTTTCACTGAGGAGCAACTTGTGTTTGCCAAGTGTTTCTCAAACCTGACCTTTGACCCTTCAAGGTCTTGTTTACTAATATGCTTTTCAAGAGAAGGAGGTTCAAATTCATTCATTTTAACAGCATTTCCGTTATTTTAAAATGTGCCATTATTGCTCATAGATCGCTCCTTATTAGAGCACAAAATCATAATCCTCATGGCAAGAAACAGAAATCTCCATTTCTCGATTCGTCTGGTATGAAATAAAAAAAAAATCCAACTATTATTAACTTTTTTTCCCTCACATTTTAATGAATAATTTCCAAGCACTGACTGAGAGCTTTATGTTTCTCCATTACCAGCCTCTCAAAGCCAGAGCTAATTCACAATGCACTAATACGATAAGTGTGTACGACGGGGTCTGTTTTATGTTGCTGTTTATCATAGAAAGTTATTACATCACACAAGGTCGCATGATGAGCTGTCACATTCATTTTTTGGATGGTGCTAATAAACATACAGGTGTCTGCAGCTTCTCTATTATTATTACATGAGCTAATATTGCATTTCAATATACGAGCTGGAAGCCTTCATCATCTACATAACAGCGAGAGCAGTTGGTATCCAAAAACACAAGTGTGGAAATGTGGCATTAAAGGAAAGTTTGGCAAGTTATATTATTTTTATA